GGACTTGGAACTCTCTCATTTTTGAAAAAATAGGACTCGGAGAACAAAAATGGGGTCTTGGGACTTAAAAATATTTTTTCCCAAATTTTCTCATTTGAAAATAATTTTTAAAATTGAAATCGGTATTAAAAACGGTCTCCGGGACACAAAATTCGCTTGAAATAATGGATTGCACAGGCTGTCCAAAATTTGGGCCTTTGCCACGCGAATTGGGCCAAGAACTCGCACAATTTGGGCTGCAGCATGAAGTCTGGCCCAGCTGGAGAAAGGGCTGTTCGTGGGCTGGGTATTGGGCTTTGCGGGCCAGCAGTTGTGAGGTAACCAGGCCGCGCGCGGGCTCACTTTGGGCCATTCGGCCCGCGCACTTAACCACAGCTACACTGGGCGAGAAAATAAAATTATACGGGAGAGAGATTCGAACCCGGGACCTACTTCACATAACTGAAGACGTAGACCGCTGCGCTCACGTCTGGTTGGGATTATGTTTGAACTATTAATATACTGAATGTTAAAACGTTTCCTACAGCAAAACCACCAGAATCACTGGGAATTCTCAGAAACTTTTGACGGAATCGATAACCACACTTCCAACAGCAACCGGGTCAAGAATGTAAAACGTCTACGAAAATAATACACTTACAAAGTTTCGAAAACCATTTAAAGCCGGGTCTAAAGGGTCGAAAGTCAAAACGACAATACGTAGTTCAAAAACAAACAAATGACACAACGACGATGGCAAGGCTCGAAAAGACAAAACGAGACACCGAAATCACATGAATTCAACACAGCAGCATCGGGACTCAATTAATACGATAAACGAGAGTTCCGATAATCCACGAAATTTCACGAATATAAGAAATAAATAACGAATAAACAAACCAACCAAATATACGATAGTCGATTAATTAATTCCAGAAATACAACAGCACGAATAGTAAAACAGAATGGTTCGAAAGGATTACCCGTCTTCAGAAATCTATGAGTTTATCGAAAGAACGGTCGGGTCGAACGAACGGTACTCGGACTCTCTCGAAAGTGCTGCTCACGAACAGTACCAAGGTTTAATTGAAGCTGACGGCTTCTACCTCAAGAACGGCGGTCGACGACGGCTCTGCTGGATGACTCGCCGGAGAATAAGGGTGCAGGTGGCGATTTTTTTTAAAAACTGAGCAAGAGAGAATCTGAAAGATGGAGAAGAATTTCTCTCTTCTTTGGCCGAGATATATGCGAGAAAAAGAGGTGGAGAACGTGCGGAATAGTCCTCTCCCTAGAATCGCGACCAGATTTGAACGAAGAAGAACAAGTCGTTGGGAAGGAGATATCCTTTCTGCTCACCAAATCACGTGCGGTTAATAAGAATGAGAACGACGTTGGGTCTGCTGAGATTTAACTCTTAATTGGGCCACAAATAATTAACTATTTGGGCCAGAATTCAATCTTAAGGGCCAAAATTAATATATACAATGGGCAAAGATAATATGCAAGGCATTGGGCCATGGTATTATATAATTACAATTAAAGGTAATGGGCCAACATATTATAGCATAGCAATTGGGTTGGAATAATTATCTCATAATGGCTAGGTTAAAAGAAAAATCTTGCTTCTCAAGAGACTATACACCACACGCACAAGGTTGAGAAAAATCGGGCTCAGGCTAAGTTGGGCCAGCTTTCGATTCGCTAGACGCTCGCAGGTTTTTGGGCTCGATAAAACCAGAAATATAATCCGCTTCCTTAGTAAATCAAATTTAACGGCTCGGCTCCAACGATCGACGAAATAAATTATAAACGAAATATTTATATATGTCATATACATAATAATATTTATTAATAATACACATTTAAACATATAGTAACAACTAGGCAAATTAGACATTAATATAAATATTAAAACTAATAATAATAACAATCAATTTAAACAATTAATAGCAATTAGGCATTTAAGGCAATTAAACAATTAATAATAATTAATAGTATTAATATTAATAATGCAAATAAAATAGTCTAAAAAAAATTCTTATTCAAACGGGGTATTACAATGCATCAACCAAATTCACCCCTTTCGAGTTGGTTTATGGACGGAAGGCACCCCTACTGGTGAGTTATCCGATGGGAAAATCACCGTATGATGAGGTGGATCGTGAGCTCATGGAACGAGATCTTATGATTCGGGAGCTCAAAGGAAACTTGTACGGGTCAATCAATCGAATGAAGGAGTACTATGATAAAGGAAGAAGAGAGGAACGATTCGAACCGGGTGATTGGGTTTACTTGAAGCTTAGACCTTATCGCCAGCACACAATCTCTCAAAAGACTCTATTCAAGCTGGGAAGTCGTTTCTATGGCCCATACCAAATTGTGGAACGCATGGGGGAAGTTGCCTATCGACTTGATCTACCAGCCGAAGCTCAAATTCATCCGGTGCTTCATGTTTATCAACTAAAAAGAAGCTTGGGGAAAAATCAAGGAGCTCAACCGAGGCTGCCGACAGTGAACTCCGAAGGCACTATGATCATACGTCCAATACGAGCAGTGGATTATAGGAGGGTAAAAAGAGCTGGTCGCTTCCGTTGGGAAGTCTTGATCGAATGGGACCAACTTCCGGAAGAGGAATCGACTTGGGAAAGTTTACACGATATGCAAATTCAATTTCCGGATTTTGTCCTTGAGGACAAGGACAATCTTGAAGGGGACGGGAATGATGCGGATGAGGGCGGTCGGCTGAAGAATGCGTACAACCGGGCTCGTCGAGCTGAAATGAAGCTGCAGAAAAATAGCAGCTTAACAGGGGTTAATGCCGCTAATCCCTTAGCGGCGCTAAGGCGCTGAAGATGGCTGGGACAGAGACTTCACGCTAAGATGATTAGCGGCCAGTAATGACCCTTAGCGGCGCTAAGGCCTGGGCGGGAGCAGTTTTTTATTTCAGTTTTCTTTTCATTTCAAGTGTATTTGGGTAGTTAGCAGGATGATATGTATGCGGTTTGTGTGACATTTTCACACTACTTTTTGCATTATTATCATATTTCTTAAGAAAAGCTTGTTTCCAAGCAAACCATAGTGTCTAAATCGGGTTCTTTAATTCGGTTTTGATACAAAATTTGATACTCGATACACGATTCGTAACACTAGCGCCTAACACTTTCAAATTCAGAGAAACCCCGGAATTAAGAAAAATGGGCAATCCTGAGCCAAATCCTGACTTTTGGTACCGTGAAAAAGGCTCTCTACCCAAGCCTTTTCTCTTCTTTAAAAACTGGTTACAAACTTACAATTGGATATAAAATCATTTCCAAAAACAAATTATCATTTGAAAATGGAAATGAAAGAGTAGAAAAACTGTTAGAAAAAATGACATTCACTTGAAATTGTAAATGAATATACATGACTTGCCGTTAAACATTGATAAGATTCGTTTCCACATCAATTGTATGCATGTACGTGGCAAGCCAAAAGATTCACCCGAAGCATACGACTATGACATATGACCCAATAATCATTATTTTGGACATCTATGAAATTTGAAATTGAAGAATCTTGTATACAATTTTTTAGACATGTCCACGGGCCGAACCGGCCCGTGAACCGGCCCGGCACGAACCGGCCTGATACCGAACTGCCCCTACCAGCCTTCCCCCCTTCACACCCCCAAAAAAACAGCAACTTGAAGCGCATGGCCTAGCAGGAAGCATCGTAGCATCATGAACCGGTAACCCGACTCCACCCTCCCCATTGTTTACTTGTGATTTGAAACCGGGAACCCTAAGGGCCGGTTCGTTGAACCGGACCCGTAGGGTCGCGATTCGGTCCCGGTTTCATATTTTTGTATTTTGGTCCCGCCGGACGGCAGGCCACATTGTTAAATTTTTTTTTTAAGGGCCGTCCCGGCCCGTGAACTGCCGGGTCGGTGAATCGGCTGTTCGGGCCGGTTGGTTTTTAGAGGGCCGGTCGCGGGCCGTGTGTTGGAGGGCCTGTGGCCCACCGGGTCGGCTCTTGGCCCGTTGACTGGCCACCACTACATTTTTGGCATCAAAAAGCGAGGGGGCAATATGAAGAAACAATAACACAAATAAATTTAAAAAAAAAAAGAGGGTAATCCTCCCTATATATAATTCTCGAATGCGCTGAGCCTACATGGCTGCTTCTGGTGCTTCAGAATCCTATTTGGCGAAGAATCATGCTTCGTAATTAGGTTTGGATAAATAATATTGATATATTAATAATTATTAATCTAGGTTCGGGTATTCCATAAATATTATTTAGCTAACTTAGGTATTTTAATATCACTTTTACTAATATAACCTTTTAATTCTTTGTAATTTTACATAGTGGGGCACTACGTGACTAATATATCCTTGAATTTTGATTTGTTTCCTTCAATAAGCTATTGAATTATAAATGTATTTTAAAAGTTGATAACTTTTGTATTTCTTATCGGTTTTACATATATTTGACATCCATATTGTATATATGAAATAAATAAATTATATTTATCTTTATAATAATAAAAAATAATAATATTTATTAAAATTCATTAGAAAAATAAAATTATTTCTCAATTGATATATTTATATGTAATGTAGTTATATATTGTAAGTTAAAAAAAAATTAGTATAATATAACACAAGTAAGTTGCACAAATAAAAGGTGTCATAATAAATATATAATAATATATATACTTATAAAAGGTATTTAAATTTTCAAACTACTTTTTCTCATTAATTTAAGATTTTAAGAAAAAAATTAGCAAGCACCCGTGTAATACACGGGTGTTGTACTAGTATGATGATATAACAACAATATGAAACTAGAAACTACTTCATTCATGTCCAAAAATGCCACCATATTACAAGTCATAAAACTGGTAATGAGTAGACATACCCATACATAATCTAAGCACAGAAACAATAAAGCAACCTATCTTTTTCAAGCTATTTAACTGTGACATCGACTCCGAGCTTAGTTCCTAAGCTCTGAGCTTGTGCGTATCAGACATCATTCTCTTAACCGTATCCTGATAGATGACGAACAAATTCAGTGTGCAGCGAGTGTCCACCCTGTCATGCATAAATTCTAGTTGTCAAAAGTACAAGCCAATATTTGTAAATATCTCTTGTGGTACATGAAGGCATGAGCCGTTGAGTTCTGCATACAATGGCACAAATGCAATGCACCTAAGCGGTCACATAAATTTTGTTTCCTTTTCTTCACTTGGCATTTGGCAAATGTGCACCATTTATACTATTGCTTTTGACATCCCAGGGATTGCTAGATAAGTAGCACTAGTTCCAATTTTCAAATAAAAAAACAGTTGTCTTCAAGATAGATGCAGATACAGATATAATAAAGCTTCTTCACGATAATGATTTTCATGGTCACAGCAAAAAGGCACACACCTTATAAGCAACAATATGAGCCACCAGAAGACCTTGATTACCCTCCTGAGCCAAAAGGGACATATCACCAATAAGATCTAAAACCTTGTGTCTGCAAGGCTCATCCACATAACGTAGAGGTGGATTCAACCATCCCTTATTCATGCTGCAAGTTCACACACAAATCATTTACAAGCAAGGACAACTCAGACACATTACAGTTGACATTTATCAGACCATATGCATGTATAAGGGGTGGTTGAAAGTGCACACACAAATCATTTACAAGCAAGGAGAACTCAGACACATCACAGTTCACATTTCTCAGTCATCGGTATGCATGTGTTCATGTACATTAACAAATCGAAAAAAAAAAAATTACATTATTTATTTATTTATATACGTTTTCTGCTCATTACCTTGCTTCTGAAAATGACTGAATCTATAATGCCTGCGTGTGCAAACAAATAGGCATGATGGAGCTCAAACTTTTTCTATCTGCATTTTACGTAGCGTACCAGGATTGGTGTTTAAATACAAACTCCCTTATTTCACATCCGATGTAGAACTATTCAACTAAGCATGCATGATGAAAACCCAGAAATCAAAGATCATTTTAATGTCCTGGATTTGACATTAATAATGAGACTTTTCTTTATGTTTTTCCCAATGATTAAAAAGGCATGCGGCAAGCCAAGGTGACAAGCCTCCTATTTGCCAAGGTTCATGCAACGCACTCGCCTAATTGAAGCAAGGCGACCCAATATGAAAAACATAAAAATTAGTTCCAGATTCTATAATCTAATAGTGTAACGAGTAAATGAAAAAACTGAAATCAGTCCCAAGCAACAGTACAGCTCCCAGTAACCGCAGAAAAAATAAAAAAAAATAAAAAAAAAAAAGGACTGCCAGGTGCCAGCCAAACCGCCCAGTTCACCTTCAGCTGCGACACAGCTGGCGACGTCTATCACTGGGAATAAGTGAATCAGCCAGATACAGAGAAAAGAAGGGGAAAAGGCCAAATAAAAAGAAGGGGAAAAGCTTTAATGAAAAAAGAAAAAGAATAAGAAAAAAAGGAAAAATACGTAGCTGTCTCAGCCATCTCCGGTCGCCAGAAGACCGCCGGAATCAGTTTGCCTTGAACAGGTGAAGAAAATGCACGGCCTAATTTAGGGTTCTGTTGGAGAGAAATTGTGGAATTCAGAATGACATATCAAGCCCGTAACCCTAATATTCATTACATGTCTGCTCGCATCGGTTCTATGTGGTGCACACTTTGGAGACGCCTACCGCAAGGCCAGCTCACCAATCAAGGCGCCCAAGCCTCATCAGGCCTCACCTCACATCATGGAAACACCTTTTTACTCACTGATTTTTTCTTATTAGTGGCTCCATATGATAAGAGTGGCTAACTCTAAACAAACATGAATATTATGCAACTGCCATCATGGTTTTTTTTAATCAAGGATCAAGAATCATTAAGTTCTGTTTCATTAATTTTGCACATGGGAAATCTAAGCTATAAAGATTACCAAACCACTTCAGAAACTATCACAAGAAATACAATAACTTATTCCAACAAGAAAAAGTTAACTCATGAAGATCATATTTGAAAGGAGCATAGTTTTTCTTTCTTCTTTTCCAAGAGGTGAAAAACTCAGTTACATGCCAGTCCATAAGAAAGCCAGATGTTACCAGAACTAGAGGAATTAATTAACAATATATTATTACAAGCCCCAGCAGCTTAAAGTAGAAGTGAAGAACAATAATACGTATCTCCCAAGTCTCACCTACATATGATGGCGGTCTCGGTCGAACCCCCTTTGATGAGTCCTAAGTTTCGCATGTGTTCCACCTGCAAAGAATTCCTCCTTCACACATTAGAAATTCACCATATTGACAAGATACGTTTTGTTAATTCGGGAAAGAAAAAGCATTTAAATATTTCAAGGAATAAAAGTGTGGCTTCACAATCACCAGAAAAAGAGTATAGATAAATATCTCAGTAAAAACATGGACATAAAAAAGAAGAATCTACTCGCAAGTGGCTGCATGCAGGAGAAAAAAAGAACGGAAGAAAGCTAGTTTAGCTTCCACCACAAGGGTCATAATAAAAGTCATTGCACAATCACTAGGAAAGAGTACAGATAAACTTATCGGTACAAAATTGACATAAAGAGAAAAATATACTCCCAGGTGACCTCATGTGGGGGGAAAACAAAAGGAAAAAAAGCTAGTTTTGCTTCTACCAAATGTGTCGTTATTCAACTTTTTATAGACTGACAATAGTGAATAAGAATTAGTCTGCCAAATGAAACTTATGGTGGAGAACAGTTTCTTAATAAGCTACAGCCTACAGCACAGAGCCACGTCTCAGACATCTAGTGAATAAATTATTAAACACATAACAGATAAATACAAAAAGTACAAGGAAAACTTACCTCTTCATATAGACAAAAGGTCCTCGCTTGAGCTATTGCCTCAGAGTATAAAGATTCATCCAACAACGTCGATGAGAACCACTGCCGTCCAATTTCAGGTGCCTGAAAGTATACTTTTATAAGAATATAAGTTATACAAGCATGAATTGAATATAAAATTCATAGATTATTGTGTCCCACCACAGTAGTCTGCAATCACAAACACATGGTTAGCTGTACCTAAACTTCCTTAATTAAGTTTCTGGACCCTTATAAGATTCAAAGCATGATAAAGAGATGTACAATAGTCTGACATTAGTTTCATCAATTATGGCACCTGGCAAAGATAATCAACAAGAGCACAAGTCCCATGGCTATTTTAGAGTTTATATTTAAAAGAAGAAAGTAATAAACAACACTGCTAGTCAAGGCATCAAAATAGGTTACCTGTGGGTAGTCAATACCATACGAAATATTGACTTTAGGATAAGGGAATGCTGCTATGAAAGAATCATTTTTCATCATGTGAACAGGTTCACTAAGATATGGTGCTAGTTTTTCACAACTTCTACCACCACTGTCTACAGCCACCTTCAGTCCTGCTTGATTGACTGCCTCCACCCATTCTCTTGCTGACCCATCAAAGATGGGAACCTGATAATTATGATTCGTAAGATATCAATAATAATCAAATTTATGTTCTTTCTAATCCAGAGGCAATAACTATCATTTAGGAGTTATGGTGTGCTGTTAGTGAGAAAATCTGTACCAAACAAACATATAAAAAAGCAAAGCAAAAACGATGTTGATGTCTTCTAATATTGCCAGGTGAAATTATCTAACTAAATTGTAGGGTGAGTGAATTGAATTCAGCAATCATCACATTGCAAGGTGGAATTATGGGCCAACACGAATGTTTTGATTGAATCACAAACAAAAGTAAATAATTTCCCAGGGCATATAACTAGACTCAGTGGCATATAACAATGAGACTTTCCCAAGGCATATAACACTGAGACTTTCCAGTTTCCTTAAAAGAATATAACTAGACTCAGTGGCATTGCAGATTGGTTATAGATATGGCAGTTTTAGGCATTAATAACGGTCTGATCGCTCTTTCTATTCAAATAGTAGGCATGATCTTACCCAAGGCATCTCATCTAGAATCATCAGATTGTGACACTTTCTCTCTAACATGTATCGCTTGGTTACATCATCTCCTCAAAATTCTAACTTCCAATAACATTGCCAAGACAATTTCCGTCATAAGAAAATTTCAAAGATCGAAGCCAATCCATTTCAAGTAAATCTAAAACCAAAACAGTACAAATTTCTACTACTAAATTGGAAATAAATTACTTAAATTATAATGAATAAATTGAAGGGGAACACAGAAGTGCCAAATAGCTTTCCCAATCGATGATGGTAACAAATGTTAAAACATCACCATTCAGTAATGCAATACTCATGAATTCAGATCAAACTATCATTTCATCACTATGTAATAATCAGTCATTACTACCTCACCCGACCCATCATAATCGCCAGACACCCCAATCTCTATGTGACAGTTGTCGACACCAGAGGCCTCCAGAGCCGAGAGCAGGTGTTCAACGGTTTGCACCCTGTGCCCATCGTAGGAAAGCGTAGTGCACAGAGGAGTATCTTTCACAGCATTTAAAATGGACGCACGAATAACAGCTGACCGGAAGATGAAGCACCGGCCGGAGCGAGCGGCCGCCGGTAGAATTTTGACGGTGAATACACCGCCAGAGTGGAGTCCCCGACCAGTTCTCTCAATAGATTTGGCTACAGTCTGCTGCAGCTTGCCCGTCTGCAAGGAGGGGCACTAGGGTTTATGAGTTCTCTGAGCGCAAAACCTTTCAGCTTGTAAATGTGTGTGTGTGTGTGTGGAGGAGAGATTACGGATTTCCATGTGATGAAGGAAGATGACTTGAGAGTTTTGACGGCGGCGGCGAGGCTCATATTTCACGAGTGTCACCACAGCAGCCCGGATCGTACAGTAACCGTTGCGTTCGAGACTGCGGACCTTCTTTGGGATGTCGCAAAAAGGATATCGGCGCCAAATTGTTTCGATTTATATACAGAAAATTAAGGGCTTGTTTACGAAATAATCCACCCAAAATCAATTTTGAGCATCGGTGCGGTTCGGTGAAAAACCGCACCGAACCGCAAAAACCAAAAACCAAAAATTTTAAATTATCCAAACTGAACCGCACCGAGTTTGGATAAAAACCACACCAAAACCGCACCGAAAAATTTAGTTCGGTGTTGTTTCGGTTCGGTTATAACCAAAAAAAAAATTAAACAAAATGTATTGAATCCAGCAACATAAGTCCATATACAGCCTAAGCCCATAAGTCCATAATCCATTTCAAAACAAAAACATAAGTCCATATACAACCTAAGCCCATAAGTCCATAATCCATTTCAAAAAAAAAAAAACACCACTCACCCCATAAGTCCAACAAGTAAGCAGTAGCAACATAATATATAAAATCCAACAACATAAGTCATAAAATATTACATAACAGACTCCAGCAATATCCATAACAAAAGTCCAGCAGTAGCAATATCCATAAGAAAAGTCCAGCAGTAGCAATATCCATAACAAAAGTCCTAAGCAGAACATAGCAGAAATCCTCAAAACATAGCAGTAACATAGCAGCCCTAAGTCCAGTGAAACAGAGCAGCCCTAAGTCCAGTGAAACAGAGCAGCCCTCCCTCAAGTGCACTGCATTAAAATCAGCAAATAGAGAAGGTACATAGAACAAAATACATAAAAAAAAAAATAGTCAAAACATAGCACCACAAAAAAAATATATAGAGTTCTTAAAAATAATAATAATAAAAAAAAGTAAATAAATAACCTTGCATTCTTATTCCTCCATTGTGTTCTCATTGTCATTGACATCACTAATCCCAACACCTTGCAAAGCTATTATTATAGAAAATAAATTTAAGAAGTTAGTCAAGTAATATATAAGTATATCACAATTAATGTCAAAATAGAACACATTACATTAGAGTACCTTCTTCTATTTTTGCAATGTCTTCTACTAGGCTCTCTTCAAGGGACTTGGTCCACTTGGACTTCTTTTTTCTCAACCAATCTTGAGCACATATAAGAGCCTCCACAACTTTAGGAGTTAAAGAACTCCTATAATCATCAAGAACACGACCGCCGGTGCTAAAAGCGGACTCCGATGCCACGGTAGAGACGGGAATCGCCAATACATCCCGTGCAAAACAAGAGAGGATGGGAAATCTACTTTGGTTGAGTTTCCACCACTTCAAAATGTCAAAATCATCTTTCTCGACAACAAGAACACTCTCTTTCAAGTAAACATCCAAGTCACACTTACTTTCTACTTCTCCACTCTCTATCTTGTGCCTTTTGAACTTATCTCCCAAGTGATCTCTTGATTTATTCTTTGAAAGATCGAGATGAGAAGATTCATTTAAACTTGAAACTCGATTCATCGATTGTGTGGACGTGGCACAATGAGGTTGATAAATCAACTTATAAGCTTCAAACAACTCGTGAACACTCCCCTTCACACTCTTGAAGATCTCCGAACCGTTTTTTTCTCCGTGCTCTTCACAAAGCGCGTACTCAAGGAACTCCAACTTGTAGCGAGGATCAACAAAAACTGCCGCACAAATAAGATGGTTCATATTTTTTGGATCCCCTCAATATTTATTGTATTTGGATTTCATTTTTTCACCCATTGCTTTGATATCAAGATCATCACTAGCAATCCATTCTCTTAACAAACAATTCACCGAACTAATTTCATGATAAAATTCATTCGAGGTGACATAAGATGTGCCCGAAATCCTCAATGTTAGCTCGTAGAAGTGGGATAAAATATCAACCATCCTTCTAGCATGCTCCCAATCAACAAATGACGGTGGTCCATGCTTGAGCTCTAGTTTAAAGTAAGGATCTTTGATTTCATACCTCTCAAATGCCCTCTCAAACTTTTGTGCAACATTTAACATCAAGTAAGTGGAGTTCCACCTAGTGCTCACATCTAAGCATAACAAGCTTTTACTTACAATACCTTCATCATCACAACATTCTCGAAATTTTGCCAATCTAGCCGGAGATTGTTTCACAAATCGAACCGCATGACGAATCTTCTTAATGGAATACTTGATCTCATTTATACCGTCCACTACTACCAAATTGATAATATGAGAAATGCACCTCATATGAAGAAACTTGCCTTTCACAAAAGCACAACCCCGAGAAGTCAATCTACTTTTCAAATATGTAAGACAAGTATCATTAGAAGATGCATTATCGACGGTAATAGAAAACACCTTTGAGATTCTCCAATCATGCAAACAACCATCTATTTGCCTTTCTAAATCCTCACCCTTGTGACTCTCAATGGGACAAAAGTTGATAATCTTTTTATTTAAGTTCCATTCTTCATCAATGAAGTGAGCAGTGATACACATATAGTTAATCTTTTGCACGGAAGTCCAAGTATCGGTGGTAATAGAAATAGTTTTTCCAGACCTTTTGAAGTAATTTCTTAATTTTAACTTCTCATCTAGGTATAACTGATAACAATCTCGTGACACAATCCAATGAGAGGGAATTTTAAACCTAGGTTGTGCAACCAACATGAAGTTTTTGAATCCATCACCATCCACAAACCGAAATGGAAGCTCATCAACAATGATCATTCTAGCTAGTTGTGACCTAATGGCTTCTTGATCAAATTTCCAACTAATTAAACCCCCTGCCATTTCACCATCCTCAGCTATTGAATGCAAAACCAATTTCGATTGTTTTTTCTTGGTCACATCCGGATTAGCCTTACAAACAAACATATGGTGAAGAAGTGAAGACGTACCATTCCTTCGAGTATCACATCTGTACAGTTTTTCGCAATGTTTGAATTTGGCTCTGGATATACCGTCGACTACCAACTGTTCGAAGTGTAGCCAAACTATGGACCTTCTCGAAGTACCACCGTCCTCTGCAATCTCGGGACCAACAGTAGCAACAACTGCCTCACTTGAACTCCCTAGACGACTTCTCTTTAATTTTGAGGTCTGAGTCTGAATTGCAGCAGATTCATCGTTCGTCGATGGAGATGGACCAGATGGTGGACCTCCTGTCGGTGAATCTTCCGCCATCTCATCAACAACAAATTTCTGAACAAAAAGAAACCGCAGTAAGTACTATGTATTTCGCATTTTCACTGAAATTTTATACAAAAAACAAATAATAATAAAAAAGAAAAATCAAAATTTGGTCTGAAATTAGGGCAAAAAATTAATTGTTTCAACTTTCAACTTTCAAGATTGAAGATTTTCAGACCAGATGATGGATTTTCGGATCCAATTCTGAAAGAATATGAAGAAATGAGAAACAAAAATAAGAAGACAGAGAGTGAGATTGACCTTGAAGAGCGAACGCCGGACTGCCGGTGGGTGAGCGCGGTAGAGAGCGCCGGAAGATAGGTGTTGATCGGGAGTGAGATTGAGAGACTGAGTGAGAGATGAGAGTTGAGAGAAGTGAGAACGGCGGATTTGAGTCTCAAAGACAGAGACTGAAAACTGAGTGTAAATTAGGTTTTAGTTTAGGTTACAAAAATCGTGAAAAGAAATCGTGTAGCAAAAATCGTGTAAGAAAAATCGTATGCTGCCTGTATGTAATGTAATAAAAGTACCCTATTTTTGGTGCGGTACGGTTAAAACCGCACCCATCGGATGGAAAACCGAACCGCACCAAAATTTTTTTGGTTTTCTGAAAATGTAACCGAACCGTAACCGAACTTTAAAAAAACCGCACCGAACACACCGGTTCGGTGCGGTTTTTCGGTTTCGGCTCGATTTTGCTCACTACTATCAATTTACTTGAACCGTCTGTATTGACCGTACCGGTTCGACTGAACTGGACCGACGACTCACTCGGAGCCGGTCGATCATTCGCTTGACTATGTATAGTTCGGTTTGACTGTGGTCCGAGTTCGGCGTGGTAACTCGGGCCGGCACGAAATCGACTGACACGGCTTAGCCGATGCATGAGTTTGAAATGGTCCCACGATCACTGACGCAGGGGCGTGCTTGGACCACGGCTAACGGAACGGCCCGACTCAGGGGTTTGACTCGGACTCGGTGCACGGGCACGCACTCGACGATTCGGCTCCAACGGTCCGACGAGAGGCGATCAAGTGCGCGAGAAGGAGATACGCATTACAAATTAACGATACGACGATTAAAATTTATTCAGACGGTACTAGTGTTTAGTCAATTATAATCGGATCCAGAAAAATACCCGATTATCGAAACTGGATAAAACTAAGGTTTCTAATTCTCGAAAATCCTAACTCATTTAAGGCCGATAATATATATATATATATATATATATATATATATATATATATTCTATGTGATTTATAATTAATTTATAATCCACAACTGCAGCTAAAATCTCAATCAAACTAATATTTTATTTTTACCGCATTACCTCTAAAGTCCCGATTTTTATAACTAAGTCAAACGGCATCCAAAATTCACGAAATTCGAAACATAGCATCCTCAATATACTTATAGTCAATGGTCAACATATCAAGTCAAACGGCAACTCCTAACCTAGTCAACGCATTTGACTGGCTCGTTTGCCTACCAAACTAAGACTGAAAATTCTCAAATTCGCACATAAGCCTCAAGACAATGCAATAAATTTAATGGTATTTATTTCAACATTTTATCGCAATTATTTAAAAGATCCCGAAAAATTGCTTTAAGCTCGTGTAACGCCCCGAAATTTTATTAATAAAGGAAAATACTAGCTTTTAATTCTAAGCTAGCCTTTGTTAATAAATATTCATGTTAATGTTCAAGTCTAAGTTATTCAGCCAGTTAAATTCCAAGTTCGACGTTAAGTCGAAAAGTATATTTTCGGTTAATTTTATTTATTATCCGAATCAATAATAGTAATTAATCTCGTTCCGTTTATTTTATTAAATGGGCGTCAGCAAGTGGGGATTAATTATTTCAATGTCGACGTATTAATTGAATTGAGAATATTCGATTAATTGTCAAAGTTGAGTTCAAGCCAATTATTCAGTTTCAGTTAAAGTTCGACTTTTAGTCGATAAGATATTCGGTTTAATTATTTCAGTAACCGAATAAATTTTCAGAAATAATTCCAATTCGTTTTAATAAATGAGTTTGGAATTAACAAGGTTAAGTTGAGGTTATTCGAATTAATTTTCGAATATCACATTTATGTTCGGAATAATTTCCGATAATTAATTCATGTCTAATTGCTCGATAAATATTTTATCGAGCTTAATTATAATTAAGCACGAGCTAATCGCCGTGTATTATCAAGAAGTCATGTTAATTATGCTTAGCTTAACCCTAAGCAAGGGTTATGCTCGTCCATCACATCTTATAAGCACGGCATTTCCTAGTTAAATGCAAACAAGTTTAATTAATACAAGATCATGCTTAGGTATTCCTAATAACCGAGAGTTACGTTTTCTCCCATTTCACGTGAGGATTCATGATGACTTTAGTACATGTGGAAGCCTAGTATTCAATTGGGAAGGTGACTAAGCTCTTGAGTTGGTGAGTAAGCAAAGAAGAGGCCACCTAAGGCCTTATATACTTAGCAAGTGTAGTAATATGATTGGCTAAAGAATTCACCCCCCCTTTCTTCACAATTTTGGTACGGCTTTTATATATGGTGAAGGAGAATTTTTACCTTACGCTTATTTTCTCTACTCAGCAAGCTAAAAGATAGATTAACTCATAATTAGCACAAATTAAGTGAGGTTAAGAGAGATTAAAGCAAGATCACACACGCACACGCACGGTAGCACCAAGGCCGAGCATTCAAGAAAGATCTTGTGCATTTGATCAAGAGCTTGAGGAGGTAACATCCTCTTCATCTTCTAACCATGTTCATAGGATCATTTTAAGTTCATCATGTTCATTTCATGTCATAAGAAT